GGCAGCCCTGAAGTGCATAAATTTCACCGACATGAAATGACGATATCTGGCGTGTCGAACATTCTTCTGATGGAATACAATCTGCGATTGCCCCTATTGTTGTTGTGCCATATCGGATGTGCGTGGAAGTACAGTACAGGCGTAACATGTTTTCTCGGGTACCTCTCAATTCCTAGCAAACTGTATGAAAGCAAACGTAGATATACGTTTGCACATAGCAGATTTGATATCATATGATGCCAAAGTAATTGGGAGAATGTAAAGGACGGCACGCGTGTGAAATGTAGAGTCGAGCTCATTCTCGTAATACAAATGCGAGAGACCGCAGATCGAAAAGCCCATGTAAGTCTGCATATGCTGCCATAATTCTACTTTTTTCAGCAAGGAATGTCAAGCCATGTCATGTTTTGACAGCATTGATATGGAGTAGGTCCAAGTCTCTCAAGCACACTAGAGTGACCACAAAGAGGGCATAGAACTCAGATATATGACTCAGGTTCGTAACAACGAAACTTGAGCATTACGAGCCCAAAGTTATCAAAAGGTTGCGGATATTCTGAGTGTTCCACACCTATCTTGATTACGCGAGTTCCCACGGCCATGGTTGATGGATATTCCGAGGGAAGGGCCATTATTGTAAAGGTGGTACAATCAATAGTTTGATACTGGCCTGATGACCTTACGCATATTGAAGGCGGGAAGCGAAAACTCCGTCATTTGCTAGAAGTACAAGACAGAGCAACAGTGCCATGTAACCGTCATCTATTTATATACTATCAAGCTTTGAGCCGTTAGTTTGTATTTCTGTATGGCTTTTCCCCCCCATGTACATGGCATCACACAGTGGGATTCGACAAGCGCTACATATCGTTCGTCTATGCATGTCATCATAGAGACAACTTTGCTATATTACCATCTAGAAGCTCGCTGCACGATAAGTTCGGTAACTGGAATTTGTTCGTCGGTCGCAGTTAAGAGACGCCGTGTCACTCTCGGCCTTTTCGATGCAGATGTATCGCTGCCTTTCAAAATCCCCCAAGTCTCAGTTGACCATGCGCCATGAAGTCGGTATGCATTTGGAGGGAGACATTGCCGTTCGTACTCACACAGTACGCGCATACTAAAAACGACGCCTGCAACCAGAATGCTGGAACTTACAACCTGTGTATGCACATGAAGGGGCTCCTTACTGTCCTGTAGATAATCTTCAAGTTAATTGTCAACGTTACTTCCGGTCCGGCCCAAAACCCAAGCCTTCGACGGAATCGACTTTCCCTATATTTTTGGGTCACTGATTAGTTTACTCTTTCTCTTGGCCATGATATATCGTTTGGTGAATCATTTGTTTATCTGTCAACATGAACTATATTCAGTGTTAAAACTGATCAGTTTGGTGAATCTAGTCTCGTTATCTTCAGAGCATTTCGTTGTGCATGAAAGATGACCCAAACTTGCTAAGCCGTCGATAGTGTTCTGGCATATATAAATGCTTGTGGGCTTCCTCCACAACATTTAGATCACCTGATCCTGATGGATATTGTGGTGCACGTACCATTCAGCCCCCACCTTCTGTTACCTGTGGGAGGGAGATCAAACGCGCCAGCTGATGGATACAAACGAAACATCACCAGGATTATTATTGGACACAACTCATCCGATCTATTACGTGCTCGAACTTTGTAATTTCCTCATGAGACCTATGCGCTTACCCCGAGCCCCCGCCTGCCTTGAACTGTACCGCTTTAGACATACCCTTCCTTTTTACTTCCATTTCAAGCCGTGTTGCTCATCTTTACGCCTTCTCTTGAAGTTATTGCGTTTCCAAATTTACAAACACGATATAGACTTTCACTGGTGTTCGATTTCCTAGCGATTTCTCGTCTCGATGAATCAGCTAGTTTATAGGAGTCTACAATGAAGACGTTTCAAGATTTCGATGTTGAAGATACCAAGGTGGAGGAAAGAAGAAGTCTTCTTCCTAAAACCATCAGACGAGTTGAGAACGTAAAGGTTATTAGAGGTCCCCCCAAATGGCCAGGCCTCACTATTGCTACCATTTTGTTTGTCTGGTGGACATGGGCTGTCATATCAGATTCAGTCCGGTCTGGGGAACCAATATCTGATATTCATGAGAACAAGTACTATGAGTTTGATGAGGTCTAGAATTTTCTCTCGTAGTTTACGGACTCAGGTATCTGACATGTTTACAGATAATGCCGAGTGAAAAACTTAAATGGTATCCATGTTTTGACGTCCCTGGATCGAGGTTCAAATGTGCAAGACTCACAGTTCCTATGGACTATCATCGGCCTCTTGATGAGTCGGTCGATTACCCTAAAGTGCATATTGCATTAATTCTAATACCTGGGAATCATGCCGAAGATAAATTCTCTGAATCGCCGTTACTCCTGAATCCAGGTGGCCCCGGAGGCTCTGGTACATTGTTTGGCTTAGCAGCCGGATCATTGATACAAAATATTGTTGGTGGCGATCAAGATGTGATTGGATTTGATCCTCGAGGTATTGGAGCAACAACACCACCAGCCGATTGTTTCTCGTATGGAGGGACATATGATGGAGTGGGAGATGATCAGGCACGGGGAGATTACCACAGGCTACTCTTCAACATCGCGGGTCAAGCAATCGGTCTGGCTAATACGAGTTCAACAGCATTGCGACATCTTAACGCACGTGCAAAAGCTATGGCAAAATTGTGCGCGGAGAAGGATTCTCTGAGTGGACAAAGCAGTATTTTCCGACATGCGGGAACACCAAGTGTTGCAAGAGATATGATTAGTATCATAGATGCGTGGGATGATTGGACCTCCAGTATAAAGCAAGAATCGCCATATTCCGATATTGCCGATATCAATCTTCCTGATGAGAGAGAGCCAGAAAATGAACCCAAAGATGCAAGTCTAGAAACAAAGGGTAAATTAGTGTATTGGGGTTTCAGCTACGGGGTATATATCTTCAACCATATCATGATAATTACTGATTTTTCTAGACACTTCTTGGATCCACCTTCGCAGCAATGTTCCCGGATAGAGTAGGCCGACTTGTCCTGGATGGTGTTGTTGATGCTGATCATTATGTTGCACCTATTGTAAGTCCAACCGGTCACTACAGTCTTTTGTTTTTACTACTTGATCCTAATCCCCAATCTCAAATTTCGTTTTTATGTTTCATGTCGTGTATTTTTTGGGATCCCGATACAAAGTCTACCTCGCCTTTTCTCAATTTGCTTTAAAAATTAATCTGTGATAAGTGATACTGACTCCTCAATTTTGCAGTGGATCGAGAGTCAACGAGATGCAGACAAGGTGTGGTCATATTTTTTCAAATACTGCCACGAGGCGAAATCTGCGTGTAAGTTCTACAGGGAGAACGACAAGGTAACAGATATCGAGGAAAGGTTCGAGTCTTTCATGGAGAGACTGAAAGAGGAGCCGATATCTGTTATATCAAAGGACATCCTGGCACCATTGATTGTGACCTATTCAGACGTCAAATATCAAATTTTCATGACGCTCTACGCTCCACTGTATGGATTCCGAGCTGCCGCTGAATTGCTTGATGCCCTGGAACGCAACCGCGAAGATTGGTTTGAGTTTCTTCCAACACCTCTGTCGTACGATCTCGGGCTCACTTGTAACCATTCTCTGCCAAAGTGGAGTTATTTCAATGATGCACAACGAGTCATTCTTTGCAGTGACAAGAAGTACCCAGTAAGCATATTACTACACGAATTATTTTTTGAAATTCTAACTTGGCTTCATAGCTCAACCACACATACTCTGAGATTGAGAGCATGTTCGAAGATATGGAAGCCCAATCAGTATTTGCGGATGCATGGATGTCGCTCATGATACAATGTTCTGGATATGATATCCAAAGTATTGATCCCCCTATGCGATGGGACGACCACCCAGCACATAGGCAGAAGCCAATCAAGACTGCCTTTCCACTGCTTTATATTAGCAACAGCGCAGACCCTGTTACACCGTTATTCGCAGGAGTAAAGATGGCCACAAAGTTCGTGGACGCGGGCTTCTTTGAACAAGAATCTGAAGGACATTGCACTATAGCCGTGAAATCTAAATGTACCATTGAGAAAGTTAGGGCATACTTTCGTGAGGGAAAAGTCCCCGATGCCCCTAGGTTCAGAGGAAAGGGATTAGATTTGCTTGACGGGGAGTGGGAAAAGTGTCCCGCTGATGAATGGCCATGGCACGAATATCAACCAAGTGCTCGTGTAGCAAACGACGTGGAGGCAGCAGAGTTGGAGAGATTAGATGCATGGGGTGGTATCCGGGACGCTTTTGCCCAAATTGATCTTTGGGGTGCGAGGGAGTTCAGAAGATTTGACATTGCCTTGTGATTTAGCATATATTGAAATATTAGCATAGCGGGAGTTGGGAGTTTGGCGGGATAGGCATATAAATACTGATTGAAGAGCGGCTCGCTCTTCGTCTTATTTCAGTAGAACTGCCTGAAAAACTATTGCACAATCGAACTCTCGGTGTCTTTTTGACCTCAATAACAATTCAGATATTGAAAAGCTACGTGAGGAGTGGATCTGGAAATACTAATCCAAATCTCATAATTGGTGGAAACTTGAAGCAATGTCACGTGTGTATTCATAGAGTGTGGTTGAGAGTTGGCATCATCAAGCAAATAGGAGGGAAGGTGGAGGAACAGAAGAAAGAGGCACGAGAGGTTCATTGTCTAGGCTTTTCAAATTAGAATAAACTTCTGTGCTCATGTTATTTTGTATTCATCTGGGTAGGCTCGAGGTAGGTAAGTGGGTTCATTCATGTTTGTAGTCCTGAAGTCATCTTAGAGCCTCGCACAGACCAACTTCACACTCCACTACGGCGACCTAGATCGCCCAAAAAATATTTCGAGATGGAACCAAAATATTGTCAGTGGCACCAGTATTTTTGAATCCCACTCAAAACACTCTTTTTTCTTTCTTTCCTCTAAATCTCACATTCAAGATGCCGGCGTTTGCGAGATCAATTACTCCTTTCTTCCAGACAGCACGATCTGCGCTGCGTCAGGGTAATGCTGTCAGTCCTTTACAGCATGCTTTGAGAAGACAAAATGGAGCTGCTGTGATCAATGCTGCTCGCTCATATGCTACCGCTTTCGAGCGCTCGAAGCCGCATGTTAATATTGGTATGGCGTCTGTTTCTACATGTATGCCACCGGGCGTTTGCTAATTCTCTATAGGTACAATCGGTCACGTCGATCACGGAAAGGTACATCATAGCAATCTCGAAAGCCCCGCAGAGGCAAATAAATGCTAACTGGATCATGATTTTATAGACCACATTGACTGCCGCTATTACCAAGAGACAAGCAGAGAAGGGAATGGCCAGTTTCCTCGATTACGGTGCCATTGACAAGGCTCCCGAAGAGCGAAAGCGTGGTATCACCATCTCGACTGCCCATATCGAATATGCCACTGAAGCCCGCCACTACTCCCACGTCGACTGTCCCGGTCACGCAGATTACATCAAGAACATGATTACTGGAGCTGCCAACATGGACGGAGCTGTTATTGTCGTTGCTGCTTCTGACGGACAAATGCCTCAAACTCGTGAGCATCTTTTGCTTGCCCGTCAAGTCGGTGTTCAAAAGATTGTCGTTTTTGTCAACAAGGTCGATGCTCTTGAGGACCCTGAGATGTTGGAGTTGGTCGAGATGGAGATGCGCGATCTCCTCAGCACATACGGATTCGAAGGAGAAGAGACACCTATCATTCTTGGATCCGCCCTTTGCGCACTTGAGGGCCGCAGACCAGAAATTGGAACCGAGAAGATCGATGAGTTGATGAACGCAGTTGATACCTGGATCCCAACCCCACAACGTGACCTCGACAAGCCTTTCCTCATGTCCGTTGAGGATGTTTTCTCCATCCCAGGTCGTGGAACTGTTGCCTCTGGTCGTGTCGAGCGTGGTGTCCTCAAGAAGGATTCCGAAGTCGAGATTGTTGGAAAGGGAGACCAAGTCATCAAGACCAAGGTCACTGATATTGAGACTTTCAAGAAGTCCTGCGACGAATCCCGTGCAGGAGATAACTCCGGTCTTTTGCTCCGTGGTATCAAGCGTGAAGATGTCCGCCGTGGAATGGTCATTTCCGCCCCAGGACACACCAAGGCCCACACCAAATTCCTTGTCTCCATGTACGTTCTCACCAAGGAAGAAGGAGGACGCCACACTGGGTTCCACCAAAACTACCGCCCACAAATCTTCATCAGAACTGCTGATGAAGCTGCTGCTCTCCACTTCCCCGACGGAACTGAAGACGCCGATTCCAAGATGGTCATGCCAGGTGACAATGTCGAGATGCAATGTGAGATTGAGAAGCCTTGCGCTTTGGACGTTGGTCAACGTTTCAACATCCGTGAGGGAGGAAGAACCGTCGCTACTGGATTGGTTACCAGAATCATCAAGTAAATCATTTAATGCATGAAAACAGTAGAGACGAGTTAAAAGGGTTGAAGTATAACGTGTATGAAACGGAAGAGCAAAATACAATGCAAACGCATCGTATAAATGAAGTCCAATGACAACGAAAGGGAAAGGTGGAAAATTGGGATGGGAAAGAAAGGAAGATTATGAAGAAATGGATCTTTTATTGTATATTTGAATAGCGAGAAAGGAGTTCGTTTATTCAATGTTACACATGTAAATTTTAAACCCTTTCTTTGTAGATTACAGCAATAGCTGGGTGGCTTTTTAGCGAGAATCAAAGATAGAACTCCTCTCATTTCTGCCTTCGAGTGATGGTATCTTTTGATGCACTATCAGTCTACTCACAATGTCTAACACATGCATAGCACGTCATTTGAGAATGTTCTTGATTCGTACGAAGCTATCTAGCTTGAAAACGGATGCATACTGAACTCCACTATTTAAAACCCAACCGCCTTTGCTTCATATTCGCTCACTTCGTATGCATTGCAGACCATATATGCCAGTCTCTTTGCTTTTGTAAAACCATAGACATAACAATGCCAATGTCATTCGTCGCTATCTTCATCGTATTCGTCTTCGTCATCAGTCATATCATCAGCATCATTAGTCAAATTTACATCTCCTCCGCTCCGCTAAACGGAAATTAATCTTTTTTCTCTTCCCTCAGTGATTTCAACTGTGGTTCAAAATCCTTCTCCACCCATTCAAAATAGGTTCTCCATGTCTGATGTTGGCTGCTTTGCGCACCCATGCCTGTGCTCGCTGATGGAATTCGAGCATGCAGATTCAGCGTTGAGCGAAGAGTGCTCTTGGTTGCGTCATCTTGCTTCTCGATTTCTTGCTTGACAGCTGATTCCTTCAATTTGACCGACAAAGTAACGCGGAAGCAATCTGCGATCGCATCGAGCCGTCGAGCCGTCTCATCAGGATCTAAGATGACCAACTTATTTAACATCAGATTGCAGAGAGATCGGATGTCGTGCTCATCTTTCAAACCGGCGATAATACGATCGTAAAAATCGAGTATGTTTATACGTGAGAACGCGGTCTCCATAAGAGCATACAAAGTTTCATATGCACTCTATAACCTGTATTAGCTATGCATCACTAAAACTATAAGGAGTATCTTACCTTTCGGACCTCTAGACCATCATCGACCTTATGCTTGAAAGGTCCCATCATTACCTCGTGAATCAACTCTTCCTTTATTACTGATTCATTCATAACAAATGGAAGTAATTGGTTGAGATTGGGGTTGATGAGATCTGCTTTGTTGTGCGCAGCAGCGTTCAATGTAGTCAGTGCCAACCGACGGTTCTCCAACTCGGTATCAGTCAGCATGACCTTCAGCATATCAATCAACATGACCTTCAGCACTGAATCAAGTGAGTCATCACTATCAGATAATGTGTAACGGATTGCTTGAATAACCATGGCTCTAATGGAAGCATTTGGATCTGAGAGATAACCCTGTGAAATCATTAGCGGATGCAAATTCAACATCTTTCCAATGGCAACAAACCTTTAATTGTGGCATAAATGCCTTAGGATCAATCATTGTCAAACGACCAATGCACTCTGCACCAACAGCCTTGTTGTCCTCAGCTTGCGAAGCGGCAAGTAATCTTTCCCAGAGAGTAGTAGTGTGCTGGGTGATGGCAGTGGGGTTGTTGCCAGCTTGCTGAAGTATTTCCTTGATAGAGTGTAGAAGCAAGAATTCATCTCCACCTTTAATCATATTCAATATCTCTGGGAGATACAAAGATGTGTCTCCAGCTCCTGCGCGTCCTAATGCGATTGCTGCAGCAAGAGGAACTTTGTCATAAGAGGATTTGAAATGAGCTGTGAAAGTGGATGGGTTCAATGGCGATTTTGCACCCAACTGTAATCCAGCTTCTCCAAGAACAGCCAAGGCTAAGCATTGTCTAGCTTCATCTGAGGAGGAATTTTGTAATTCGCTCAAGAAATTGTCGAGTGTGACTCCGACTGAGGATCCTCCAAATACCAAAAGCGTGCCAATAGCTTTTCCTACGACTGTAGAGTCTCCGCGAGTACTAACATCTCTCAATAAACCAGACATTAAAGGTTGACCAACTCCTTGTTTGCCGATATTGGCGACCAAGAGAAGGACAGCGTCAAGTACAGCGCCACTCAATGACGAAGTCAATAAGCCGCAAAGAGCAAGGTTTAACTGGTCAGTAACAACAAGCTTTGCTTCATCCATTACCAAAGTAGCCAGTACTAGAAGCGCCGGGCCTAGAAGATGAAGATCAACTGTGGTTAAAAGCGGAAGAAGCGCGTCAATAAGGCCTTGGACAGTCGGAACGTCGAGGGAACTTCTGGCTGCCGGAGAAACGATAAGATTCTTCAGGGCTCCAAGACTTGCACCGCGAAGCGATCTGTTGGCCTTTCGGAGTTGCGCAGCAAGCTCTAGAGAGACATCTCGAATCCATGGTGGCTGCAGTTGGCCTTTAGTGGTGGGACCGACCTCAATTGAACCGACAGCAATGGTTTCAATAGCTCTTACAGCAGCGAGGCGAGTAGTTTCATTCTTTAGTCTATCACTGAGCAGAGTGAGAGCAGAACTTCGGTTAGTCTCTGAGAGAAGCGATAAGCCTTCGGGACTTGCTGTGCGAGCGAGCATGATACCTAGAGCATGTATAGCACGTTGACGAACTTCAACATCTGCATCGGTAGCGGACACGCGATCGACTATCACTTGGTATAATTTCAAAATATCTTCTTGCTGACTTGACTTCGCCGGCTTCGATCTTGGAGGTGTCAAAGCCTTTACGAGTTGTTCGGCTGTACCGACAGCCTCACCAGAAATCTTGTAAAACCTATCATGTACAGCTGACGCTACACATGGAATGATTTTAGGCAGGTGTGGCTGTAATACGCTCGAAGAATGAGTTTGTGCAATATCACCCAATAACTTGAGAGCAGCAATTCGCAGGGTATTTGCAGTGGCCGAGGCAGCACCACCGCTAGTAGTTGCAGTAGACGATGAACCTCCCGATGTTTTGATGGAATCTATGATGGGGTCCACAAGTTGGCCGAAGTGTTCTGAGAGCCCTCCCACCTGAACTGAAACCATACCATCCAAAAGGTTGATGAGAGCTTGCTTCGTTGGAATGGAGCTCGTCTTCAATAATCTCACAATACTCTTTACAATCACAGGGGTCAATCTTGCCAGGTCTGTTCGGGGACCCGAAACAGGTAGCGGCTCAATAGTGGGTGACGTCAGACCAGCAGATCTGGAAATGAATGATCTAGTATCAAAAGTGGCTGACGCAGCACTCTCTCTTCTGCGCTTTCGACTTGGGGGCGCTTGATTTGCATGACTTAAAGACTCATCTGGCGAAAAGTTGACTAGGACGCCCTCCCCAGTTTTGCCAATTAGACATGCCATGGTAGCAATAACTTCAAGGCGAACGTTCTCTTCTCGTTCATTGAACCTCTGAATAAGAGTTGGGGCAACTTGGGCATATAGAGTTCCATCCTCAAGTAGATCACCACTACCTCTAGTTGAAATTAAGGTATAGAGAGTTTTCGCGGCACATCTTCGAACCTTCCAGCTTGCGTCATCATCATCGTCGTCAAATCCAGCGTCCGCCTCGAAATCATCGTCATCATCGAAATCGGCCATGTCATCTTCATCAGATTGAGTTCCCCCCATTTCGTCGTCATCATCGTCGTTGTAATTTGGATCATACTTCAGAAATCTGAGAGCTGCTGCGATTGTTTCTTCCGTATGAATTCGCATTTCTGCACCACAAGAAGCTAGAAAGCCATCCAGTGCCACAAGTGCAGATTCCCTTACATCGTCCAACTCCGGGTTACTTTCACCATCTTCCGCGGCGTTTTCAATCTGATCTTGAAGTTCTTGCTCGCTCAGCGCAGAAAGCACAAATGGCGCAAGAGTTTTCAAATAAGGACCAAACCTCGAGGGTATGGATCTAGCCATCGATCCGAGAATGGTAATGTATAAACGTCTCTGCACAGGTGTCAAGTGCGGATTGCGAAGGCACTCGATGATATGAGATACAAATCCACTGAGATCGGAATCTGTCAGGTACATAGCAAGTAGAGACACTGCAACAACAGCCCGCTTCTTGACGACAGAACTAGCTTTCTCAGTCTCTAAGATACCGATAACTAAACTTTGTAGTGCTTCAACTTCGCTGTGCTGCAAAAGAGGGCCGAAGCATCTTGCGACTTCTATCAAAACATCAACAGCATCGGAGTCGATTTCGCTATTTGTGGAAGGATCTAGCATTCCTGGTGGGGGGTTCGGAAGGTTTTGGCCCTTATTTGGTTTTTGAGCTACGACACGTCCGACTAATCTTGGGATCAAGACCCTGCTAATAGCAGAATATGCTTCGAGCACATCTTTTGAAGGGGTAACACCGCTGATCGGTCTTGGTAAAGTGATGACAACCGTTCGCAGAGCCATAGCAGGTATTGAGTTGTCAACCGAATTTTCAGTTGTTAATGTCGAAAGTCTCTCGATTAAAGGAGCAATTATATTGCTGGGTAACTTCGCAACAAGGGGAGCAAGGCTGTTTCAAGTCAATTGAATTCTACGAAGATAGAGGGATGTTGGCATACTAACCACTTAATGGCCAAATTTTGTACCTCTCCATTTTGATCATCCAAAGTTCTAATAATACCATCCACAGTCTTTGCAGCTGTGTTGTAATCGTGGTGGAGGAAATCCGGTTTTCCACTCTCCAACACCTGGAAAAGATCGTTCAATGACATGAATCTATAATCTGGATCCACATCGTGAAGTTTTGGCAACAGAGATGCAACTGTTAACGAAGTCGGATTGACGGTTATCGAGCTGGAAGCCATCTTCACTATGGACCGGCAGGCCTAATGACGATAGCTAGAAGGAGAAACGTGTGTTAAGGCAATATCAAACCACCATTTGTATTTTGGAGACACTCGTACTTATTTTGATGTTGGTTTTTCCAGTTTGATGCGGGCGTGAATGGGAGGAGCCTTGAGGAAGTAGAGCTAAGTTAGCTTATTGCATTGGATGTTACTTCGAGTTTGAAAATCCAAGATACACAAGCAAGAAAGTGTCAGGAAATGTAACAATTATTAACTTACTTGACAAGAAGGTTATTGAGAAAGGGTTATTTGAAGTCGTAAAGACAGTGACAATGTACTCGTATGTTGATTTTGTTTGTAAAGTTGATAGATAATTATTTAAGTACCTAGTGTAGGTAGGTAGTATCGGTCCTTGAGGTGACGGAAGAAGTAGTGGGGGTTGAGCTAGTACGTAGGCGGTTCTAGCCATAGGAAGTGGGAGATGAGCTTAGTCAGTCTGAGAATTATTGCCTCAGGATACAAAACAGTGCGGAAGCTCCACTTGCACCAAGCTTTGCTCCAGAGAAGCTCCAATTAGACTCAGCTGGCGTGATCATTTGCCAAACTACTAAATTGCCAGGATTTTTTCGGAACTCCAATTCACTCAATAAATATTGTATTACCTCATAAAGTACCTACCTACATTTCCTATCCTTTCTCCCATATATCAATTGACAGGTATATACAGCTGTTTTCTCAAGCTTTATCTATCATTGAAATTGTTACTGATAACGTTTTATTAGATTACTTACACCTGCCTTTCAATCTTACCCCTCCGATAATGGCATTCTCACGAGCAGCTATTGTGCGCAACTTGCGCAACATCCGAGCACGCCCTCAATTCAACCAAGTCGCTAGAAGAGCTTATGCCAGTGGGGGTCATGGACAGGCAAAATCGGGTGGTGATGCCGTTTGGTATGTTTTACCTTGTTCCCATTGATCTTAACATTCTTGAAAGTATTCGTGAACTAATACGTCATACTTCAGGGCTGCCGGAGCAGTAGCCGTTACCATCCCATCGTGTTGGTTCCTGATCTCAAACAAGCCAGAACCTGCTCACGGTCACGGTGGACACGGGGATAGCCATGCACATGAAGAGCATGAGGAAGAGAAGGAAGAGGAGGTAGAGGAGAAAGAAGAAGACAAGCCAGCCGAGTCTGAAGAGAAGACCGAGGAGAAACCCGAGGCAAAGACTGAGGACAAGGAAGAGCCAAAGGAGTCCGAGAAGAGCGAAGAATCCGACAGTGATGACGAGGCTAAGGAACAAGACACACCAGCTACTTCCGATGACGAAGAGACTGTCGGAGAGACTGACAAGAACGTCCGCAAGTCAATTCCTGATGCAAAGGGCGGAAAGAAAGCTCGATCAGAGAGCAAGGCCGCCATAAAGCAAGGCGAGGATAACTCAGAAGCAAAGGAGGGAGAGCCCTCGGATAAGGTATGTTGGTACACGTCGAAGGATTGTATCCGAGGTTAACATTTCTATTCCAGGCCGCTGCTTCAAAGGAGCCCCAAGGCAAGAACACTCAATCTGGCAAACAAGAAGGTCTTTCAAACACCGATACAAAACACTCCACCGACATTACCAACGACCCTACCAAGAGTAAAAAGGGTGAAGGTGCTCCCGAGACTGCCAAGGTCAAGGGAACCGTCGACCCAAACCGCCCCCAGGTATAATCTAAATTCAATTCGAACTTATGAAAAAGATTGTGCATCCTCAATGCTTTGAGCTCACGAGAGATACAGTCTTTCATTGGAAAGATATGAGCCATGCTAACGATGATCCCAGTCTGAGGAAGAATCTGGTTCTTAAATATTCATGCCCATGATCTCGATTGAGATACAATAATGTGTCTTTTGCCCCGTCGTAATGTACATAATGTATCAAAATCCTTCACAAAAGCGTAATGATAGATTTCGGGGGGAATTATCATGAAATTCGGTTTCTTCCTCTTGTTTCTTCCGCAATGTGCGCATCTCTTCATGAGTTGATTTAAATGCCATACTGGGGCGAATGTTCTACTGAATAGCTACTGGTGCTGTAGTTGTGTTGGATTCGAGAGTGGGAAGCAAATTTCGATAATGAAAAGTTTTTTTGACTGTCTAGTGTCGGAATTCCATGATTCAAAGTTCAAGTGAAAGTCGTATTCGAGGAGCCAAATTTAAGTGTCACACCTGCCAAAGTATCCATCAAATCTAGGAATAGCAACTGCTAGTAAGTGGTAGACTGCGTAGAAGGAGCGACAGAACCCCAGTGTTTATTGATGTATACTTCACCCTTTCACTTTTGTACTTTCACCCAAACATCATCAGAATTATTATCTTCGCCATTGAATCATTACTATAATAAGTGCATCGTAAGTTGAGAATTCCGTACCACGTTACAAACTATTACTAACCTGAATGAACAGGCTCATTCATAAATATCGCTCCAATGGCTATGGCAGCTCGCCGTGAGAAACGGAAGCTGGCCAAGAATCCACCAGTCACGAAATATAATTTGGATCCAAATACTCCAGTCCATCGACAATCACTTGCAACTACTGCTATGGTTGAAGCCAAGCAGCCCGCAATCACTCCCCAATTGCGTTATGCCATTCCCGATCAACCACAAAGATCGGAGCTATCTATGAACAGGAACAAGTCTGAGCATAAAGGGCAAAGTGATTGGATGGTTCCGTTCTGTCATCACCCCGAGGGTGATCACACAACTGCCTTGGAGGGATTATTCGTTCCTTGTCTTCTATATGGCAAGAGTCACTGGCGATTGAAGAATGTAGCTCTTGGCCGAGATCCGCATAATTTCAAGTCTTCTGACGGTTGTAACTCAATGTGTTGGATCCATGGTGCCTTGACAGCTGCTTGTTGTTTGTCGAGTAAGTAAACACTCGGGTCAATATTCATGGCTAACCAGTAAAAATAGTTGGTCTTACTCTTATACAGCGTGCCCGCATTCGTGCCCAATACAGAATCTTAGGGTCTATGGGGAATGATGTTATCAAATCATGTTTCTGTGGTCCATGTGTTATGATACAACATGATCGAGAAGTCCGGGCTAGAGAAGGTGCTTCAGGGCTAGCGAGATTCCCCAATGAAGCACAAATGTCTTGGAAACAACCCAAACTTTCACAACCAATGAAATATGTCTCGCAAAAAGCACCTTCGGCCGAAAATCCTGGCATAGAAAACAGGATATTCAATCATGGAAGGCGTTTTACGAATTCTGAGCTTCAAGAGGTACCTGCAGTAGCTTTGAGTATCAGTGAACATAGCCGTCAGGGCTCGAATTACCAGAGCACCGATCAACATTGTGAGATGGAGGAATTGAGAGATCATATGCTTATGGAGCCGCATAGGAGGGCTATCAACTCTAGCAATGCCGGTGCCGCTGTTGATGGTACTACATCTTCAACACAGAAAACCCGAGTAAGTTCAGAGAGACTCAGTCTAGGCAGTATTTCCAGTTGTAGCACATTTGCTATTGAGCCAGATTCGCCGAGTCCTTCAGTTCACGGAAGTTATTTACGGGTCAAAGGTTGCGAGAAGCTCTCTAGAATGCCAGCAAGAGGAAACCTCTCTTACGTTCATGACTTCTCTGATTACTCCGCTGCCAAGATTGTATTGGATCATTATGCGAAAGAAGAAAGACTCTTGCAGGAGAAAGGGACTGTCCGATGTCCCGCCCACTTTCGTGAAGATAAAGAGAATCTTCTGCTGCCCGCCTTGGATGATCTTGTTGTACCATCCACCACATCCTCTGGTTCAAGCACTGTTCGGCAGCATACGTTTAAAGGAGATGTTGATGAAATGCCGCTTTCCGAGCTTGCCAACCCGCGTCGCATCGATAGCTGCGCTGAATCGGTGGATTCCGCTTGGTTATTGGATACACCAATACAACATCGAATCACGAGTTGTTCCATTATGCCTAGGAATCCGTCTAGTATCCAAAGGTCAATAAGGCAACACCGAATAGCAAGCTGCCCTGCTACACCTGGTACTCCGGTTATTAGGACCCCCGAAAGCCCTGCAGATAAGAATCGCATGCTAAGTTGCACCGTCGAGACCGCACCTACATCAAACTCACCTTCTCCGGTTATGCAAAACAACTACTCAGCATCTATCATGGATATCGTGGATGATTCCAACCTCTCAACTCCTCTTATTCAATATTCACAATACGGACATCTTTTAGACGAGAGTACTCTCGAATCCGGCTCGCCTGTCTCTAGATTATCATCGGGATCTCGAGCTTTCAGTTGTACGGCGATCAACCCTGTTTCTCGTGAGCAACACTCCTTGGAGGGTTGCCCCGACCTTACTGGTGACTGCAGTCCTATTACAATCAGACAACACCGTATATCGAGCTGTTGTGCTTCGATCCCTTCTGGTAGTATGACTCAAAGCAATGGAGATGGATCTCATAGGTTAGAAGACTGCAGCTTTAGGACTGGATCTTCTACGCCTATTCTCACTAAGCCGTATAGATTTGCAAGCTATGCAGCTGATAGTCCTCAATCAAGTCGTAAAAGCTCAGCGGTAATGGCTCACTTGATGGAAGATGGATGTCTACTTTCTGGAGTTGCAAGCCCTGTCAAGCAGCATCGTATTACAAGCTGCGGTGGTAATGCCAGTGGTGGAAATTCGACGAATAACAAGAACGAAAACGGCTATATGTCATCGGGCTCATCGACTCCTAACCCACGTCAGCATCGGGCCGTAAGCTGCATCGCTTCTACCGTCATCTCGGAGTGCGACGAGCATTTACTTGATGATTGTGAGTACGATTCTAAAATCAGCACCCCACTTTTGCAACACAATGAGATAGACTGCGATGTAACTTCAGGGTCGGGAGAAGAACAGGGACGCCTATTGGCAGTATTGGAAGAAGAACGGGAGCACTTACTAGAAGATTATGCTGCAGATTCTGGCCTTTCCACTCCTCTCCGACAGCATCGAATTTCAACTTGTGTCGTCTCTAGCCCCTCGAGCAACAGAAATTCAGTGGTAAAGCAGCACAGAGCTTCTAGTTGCCCCTCTATAATGCCGGCTGAGGGTAGTCAACCAAACGGCATATCTCATGATTCTCTTCGACTTCCTCGTGAACCGCTCGTCGGTACCAGCGATAACGAGCAATCAACTCACACAAACTACGAGGATTGTCTACACAGTCTGGATGACTATATTGCTCCAGCCGACACAGCGAAAATAGAAGCTAGTGCAAGTCAGGACACCGAGTATGAAGAATATAGCACAAGGATTGCTCGAAATTTCAACGACCAAAGCTCTGAGTTTAATGAGAAGTCCACTATCGGAAAAGAAGGGAGTCGGAGACCCAGACTCAACGATTTTGCGTCACACGAAAGCGATGCTCGATTTACACTTGCTCAAGTCCTTTCTTTAGATCAAGAGAAACCCTTCATCGGTGTGACTCCAATGGACGGAGATGGAACCATGAGTATGGCGAGCCGGAAAGGCAGCGTAACGCCGCCAGCACCATTTCCATCGCCCGCTGCTCCTTATCCCTCGCCGATCACTCCATTGCATATTTCTGGCGCCTATCCGCCATCTATCACGTCTTCGAGCCTGAGGAAAGATAAAAGGAGATTTCCTTCGGAACAAAGTTCGGCTGGGAGTGGGTTTGCTAGTTATTTTGGATTCGGTAGCTCGAAGAAGACGTCATCAGGGTTGTGAGTGGCCTCTGTTGATCTTTTAGAGATTGCCACGGCGCTGACATGCTTATAAGAATCGATGATGTTGGCGGTAATACCGGTGGAAGAATTGAGAGTGGAAGTGCAGGTAGAGTTAGGAGTTGGGGGCTGTTGAACAGGTGTCAGTTGAGGAATTGGAGCTGGAGGAGTTTTTGAGTTGAGATTACTCGGAGACTGCAAGAATTGGAGCGGATCATATCGTTATTAGTGGGTGCTATGGGTGATATTATTCGTGATGGGGATGTATATAATATCCATTCCGTTACATTCTTTTTGTGGGTTTCCAAAACTGCCATTCATACATACATACACAGCTTTGAATCCGCAAAATTGGATTTGAATACTAGAGTAGAGATGACAGAAAGGAAAGACATACTTTAATAAATTCATTCGTTATCAGAATAACATTTTCCCGGCTCACTTGAGCAGTAGAAGATTTGGAAAGTGGATATATGTGATGCGTGTACACAAGGAGGCTGGTAATTTATCGAGGAGTTGGCAAATTCCAAGAAAGAGCTTATGCACGACATACATACGCAGTCCAGACCCATCTGCAGGTCACACAAGCATATGCCCTGCATCGTACTCCATATATACCCCATAACCTAGAGAATCCGTTTCGCAATCCCATTCATGACATGCAAGTTCGTAGATACCGACCTACCTACTGTGTATTCATTCGGATTCGCATTCGCATTCACATTCACATTCATATTCATATTCATCTCACTTGATTGTCACCTCAAAAACAGGCGCCCGAGATATAATTTGCAAGTCTTTGCTTGCTTCACTCGCTACTGACTGACTGACTGTATGGATGGATTCATTCTAACATGAACACGAAGATTTTCTTATTACATTTAAAATTTTGATTTCTTGCCTCCCTCCCTTCCTGCCTACATGCCTGCCCGTCTGTGTCTGTCTTTATGAAACCAATGAATACCATGCTTCCCCTTCTCTGATGAAGATGACTGGCAACGCAGCGAATGCAGTGCCAGATCAAGATAAGACAAGAATGGACTGTGAAAGAAAGTAGGAGAGATAAAATTACAAGAATTTCTTCCCCTTTCCCTCCAATTTCCCCGCGCGCCTTGCCTGAATGCCCATTGGTTGAGATGTGTGTAATGTGAAAAATTGCCAGATTTCTAAAATAATCTGGTATGATGTGGTATGTGAAGATTTCCTCGACCTTCCTGTGTTGAAGGGTTTATCTTTCCCTCCTTTGCATTGTGCATTTCGATTGGAATTGTGGGAGAGGTTGACGTTGGTATTGGGTAGTGGGTAGATTATAAGTGGAGTTTACACAATGTAGAAGGAGGATGAATGGTGGTCGCGAAATCGGGGATTGAGGTTGATGGAGAGATTTTTGGGGGCATAAAGAAATAAGGTATTCGATTCAAATCGTAAGATTATAACAGCAATCTAACCGACGGATTGGTAAAGGAGAAGAGGTTCGCCAACATTTTCGATTTCGGGGATTGTGCATTTGAGGTCGAAGGCTTTTGAGAGGACAATCTTGAAAATCTACAAGTGGGTGTTTTGTTAGTTGACGGTTTGGTATATAAGCAGTATAGCGTGGATCGCAAGCAAGTATGTAAGAATGAAATATAGATGGTCTTACCTTTTGAACGTTGATGCTATGGCTTGTACTACTAAAAATCAGACTTGCGCGCATTGCTTTTGCGAATCTTCGAGCCTGATGTCGCATCTGTCAGCATGCCTCAAAACGAAACAAAATCGAAGAATTGGTAAAACTAACCTGATTTGAGATCTCCTCCTGATCTTCTCTCGGAAAGTTCACAAAATGATCGTATTTGGTGCCGACCAGGAACGGAATCGCGGTCTTGTTAAAACCTCTCCCCTGCCTATACCACTCCTTAATACTATTCAAAGTACTCTTTCGCGTCAAATCAAACATGAATAATATAGCTACTGCATCGTTGCAAACGAGCGGTAACATATTCACGAACTCTCTCTGTCCTCCCAAATCCCATATTGAAAATGTAATCTCGGTATTGCGTATAGATATAGTTTTCTCCATGAAGTTAACACCCAAGGTTTGAATGTAATCTTCGTCCCAACTACCTTCTACATATTTGACCATTAAGGAGGTTTTGCCAATTTGAGCATCCCCTACCATGCCGACTTTAATGACGACACTATTCTTCGAGCCCCGTTGTTGCTGCTGTTGCTGATCTGTACTCGCACCTGAGCCCCGTGAATTTTGTTCTTGATATGCGTTGCCATAGTTGCCTTGACCTGACAAACCTGAAGCCGGGCGCGAAAGTGACGCGGGAAAAGTCGTGGGAGGGGTAGCATATCGACCATTTGTAGGTTCTTCTTGTGGAGGTGACGCGGGATATTCTTGTGGATATTGTGATGGGGTTTGGAAATCTGCAGATGCAGACGCAGAGTGTCGACTGTTATGCGTTGGCGTATGTGCTCTCTCCTCCATTCCGCCCATAGCATCGTCTTGAGGTGGGTCAACTCCCTGATTCTCGTATGTGATTTCGGCGTCCATCGAATCTACTGCGTCGTGAAATTGAGCGGGAGAGCTCACTGGTAGAGTGGTAGGATCCAGGTTGACTGATTTATGGGTAATTATAGAGATGAATGAATGTGTAAGGTTACCTATGATTCTTTATAAGGGTGAGATCTCGAATTGGCGGCTGGAAGAAGGAGATCAACACTGGGATGTTATGGTAGATCATTCACGGCTGATTGTAGAGTAGTGTAGTGTAGGTAGTGTAGTGTAATGTAATGTAATGTAGTGTAGTGTAGTGTAGTGTGTAAGTTATTTTGGTATCAAAAATTGTTGACGAATCTATAACTGCCGGAGATGAGGACCACCACGATGAAAGTCAAGATATGAATGACTAATAAGATTCACGGAGAGATTTGAATTGTATTTTGGTTTGGACGACTGAAGTTATACCTCATGAGAAATATCCAGGGGGTTTCTAATAAGCTTGGTACGAGGCCAGAAGACAAGGCAAGGCAAATAATTGTCATGCGGTGGTTCGGCGCTTGGGCGTGCGAAAGGCAACTCGGGCAGGTCGACCAGAGACACTTTACTCCGTAATAAAGGTATCTACCCAGGTAGGGAGAAAGAGAGGTGGAGGGAGGGAGGGAGGGAGGGAGGGAGGGAGAGGGAGGTAGATGTTCCCTTCTCTTTCGACGCGTCTTCCCCTGAGAGTCCTTTGGGTTTGTTGTTGATGTGATTGTGATTGTGGGAAAAGAATGGAGTTGTGTTTGTTTATTATGTTGATTGATATTGTCATCAAAATATTGAAGAAGAAGGAAAAGAGACTTTATTCCTAGATACACTTCGACCAGTACTTTGTCTTCCAATTAGGAAAGTTATAGAGTCTACTTAAGTAGGTATTTATATTGTGTTTGTTTTTATTTTGTGTCTGTGTTTGTATTTGTGTTTGTTTTTGTTATTGTTTGAATTTTCACTTGTAGTTATATGTGTATTTAATATAAGTCAAGGTCATTTTATACATACATTATATAGAACCATATATACGAAGTATACATATTATCAGCCAATTGACATTCTTGCTCCCTACGATATTGATATTCAGATTCCTTTTCCTCAGGTGGGGGTTTCATTCAATTCAATAGCTCGCCATTGGGTTCCCTCGTTGTCCTCCCTCCTTGTCTCCAAAGACAGAGACAGAGACGGAGACAGAGACAAGAGACCGCCCTGGTTTTTTTGTCGGCTTTATTTTGGGACATTTCTCTGATTGGCTCAATCTCTCGTGGTCCATATCAGCAATCCTCATTTTTATCATCTCACACCTCTCTTGCACTCTATTGATAATTGAATTAATAATTCCTTGACTAAAGCTCAACTCCACCCCAAATTTCTACCCCTCAAACACCATTTACATATACATATAATGGCATCAATCGCAAGGAGTTTAAGGCCATGTGCCTCGAAAATTACATCCAGCACATTCAAGACGGTTCCGTCATGGAGATCTTCGTCTTTGGGAGCTGTTCGAGCTTTCTCAGTATCTAGAGCTGGTGAGTTCATCTTTTTATCCAAGGTGCTCCGACCACCGGCCTATGTCATAGAGATTTTATGCGCAGAGTGAAGAAGTTGAGCCAATGTTGCCTGCGGAGTGTGGACAAGACTTTGGAATACTCGCCTTCTTATCACTGTCATGGGAATGTCTATTAAAGTTCGATTCTACCCATTTCATACCATACACCCCACCGATACTGACATTTTCTCTCCCCTACCGCAGCTTTCAACAAGAAGTATACCAAAGACCACGAATGGATTCTCCTTTCTCCCGATAACAAGACTGGCACAATCGGTATCAGTGACTATGCCGCACATGCTCTCGGTGACGTCGTTTATGTTGAGCTTCCCACCGTCCCATTGGAGGTCAGCGCTGGTGATGCCATTGGTGCCGTAGAGTCTGTCAAGAGCGCATCCGATATCAACAGCCCTATCACTTGCAAGATTGTGCAGGCTAACACGATGTTGGAGGAAGCCCCAAGCACCATCAACAAGGGTCCCGAAGATGAAACAAGTGCCGGAGGCTGGGTTGCCAAGGTTGAAGTTGGGGAACAAGGAGTGAAGGATTTGGAAGGGTTGATGGATGAGAGTGCTTACAAGACATTTATCGAGGAATAAGCAGCGGGATGGGGGTTGGTACATGACGAGAAACGAGGCAATGATTGCATGGGCAGGCGGGGCATAGCATAGACGGGGGATTCAACTCAACATTGATGAATGTGTATTTGGGAATGGAGTTTATTCAACAAACATAAGGGTTGGGGGGAAACGACACTGGATTAGCTACATTTATATATGTATGCAGCTTTTAGCCTTCTTGGAACATATTTGAAAGCTATTGGTGGTCCAGCCAGTCAATCTATGTAAAGAAAAAGTTTACTTTTGTAGCGCATGTGCCCGTGAAAAACAAAAATCATTCGGGGGTTCAACTATGCATTACCACCCTCCTTAATGACAGGTCGATTGAGGTTGATGGCCTCCAGTATTTTGGCAGCACCCTTGCTAACCAAATCTTGAGCAAGAGACCATCCAAACTCATCAGCATCTTTTGGTGTTAGGATCTCCTCCAGCCTTTCTGATTCCACACTCTCTGTGCCATCAAGACTGACAACGATAGCCTTCATTAACAATTTCCCCTTTTCGATCCAGGTCGTCTCAACCCCGATTGGCACACTGCATCCACCCTCCAGAGTTCTCATCAAACTTCGTTCTGCCAACCCTGCCAATTGAGTCGGTTCATGTTGTAACGCAGAGATCATCGTGCTGATTTCTTCATCGCCATCTCTGACCTCCAAAGCTAGTGCACCTTGTCCCACAGCATGCAACATACCGCCACCCTCTGTTTTACTATCCAGATACTGCGTGATCCTCTCTCCCCAACCCATTCTCAACAAACCCGCCGCCGCTAAAATCAAACAGGAATACTTCCCATCATCCGCGTCCAACTTGTTCAATCTAGTTCCAATGTTGCCTCTCGCGTTCTCAAACTTCAACTCGGGGTACTTCCTAGCTATCTGCGCGCTTCTTCTCACACTACTCGTTCCCACAACGCTTCCTGCTGGTAGCTCTGACAAGCTCTTGTAGTTGCTTCCTGCCTTCATTATCAACGCATCCCGAGGATCCTCTCGTTCAAGAATTGCACCAATTATACATTTGGTTGGTAACTGCGTCGGCATATCTTTAAGACAGTGAACCACAATATCTAACTTCCTGTCCAATAATAAAGCCTCAAGTTCATGCGTCCATAAACTCTTTGCGCCGAAATCATGCAGAGCAGTTACTTGATTCTTGTCGCCCATCGTTTCCAACTTGGTAATCTCGAAGTTTAAATGGGGATGAGCTTTTTCGAGCGCAGCTTTTACTTGCTCGGTTTGCACCATGGCGAGTGCGGATTTGCGTGTGCCGATGTGAATAGTGGCTGGCTTTTCATTTTGGGATATCTCGCGTTCGGATTGGTGGTCGAGGGCGCGGAGGGGTGCAGCGTCTTTGGAGGACTTTTCTTGGGTACTGGTAGTGGGGTCGAGAACGGAGCGGGAGGATGTAGATTCTTTTTGTTCGTGAGTTGCCATTTTGAATTGGGTAAGAATTGAAAGTTACTGGAGCTTTCAATTTGGATCCGGGGTATAGAGGTATTGGAGTTGGGAGGTAGAAGAGCAGCTGAGTGTTGCTCCTTCATAGAGGGGGGTATTTCTGTGAGCTTACAATCCACTAAACCCCTCTATTGATAGGGATATTGGTTCCACTACAATATGTATCTAGTTCAAGTGGAATTCACCAGGAAACACGAACATAAAACCACAACTACAATCACAACTACAACCACAATCAACCATTACTTTTACTGTATTCACCACTCTTGGGTAATCGAGTTGAAACCCAATGAATGGAGGACAATTGTTCTACTCGATACAATATGAGACAAGACATTGTTTGACACCACTCAAGTCATGTCTGAAAAGGAGAAGAAACAGATTCAACAATGATCTGTCTGACACATCGGTCATGAATCTCACATAATATTTCTACTAAAATTGGAAGTTATCCATAATCAAGCAATAAAAGACGCAGTGTTTGAAGTTAGACCTGCCATATGTATTGACTCTAATTGTTGATAAGCACAAATGTTGAAGCATCAAAACAATCACCCTTCACCGATTCTCATATCTATTACACCCTTTCATTCTTTCCTACGGTTCTTCCGTAATTTTCTTCGCAATTTCCAAGACACTCTCAAATTCTCTTGCATCCGCGCGGCCTAGACCGCACTCTGTTGCGATACCAAAATCTGCCACAACTTCACTCGCAGATTTAATTCTTAATTTCGTTCCTTCTAGGTCATCCTGATGTAAAACTCCCAAGTACAACTCTGTATCATTCTTCTCCAGATTTTTCAATGGTTCAAAGTACCCTCGATCAATCCGGTCTTTTGGTACAGGCATATGAATCCAATTGACAGATCTTCTCCTTCTTGTTCCAGTCAAGACTCGATTCGCAATATCGACTAATAGGCTCATGTCTTTCGGTTGCGTGAAGTGTTGATGTCCAAGATCACCGTAGCAGAAATGGAAGCCCAGTTCGACGGATGGATCTATAGCATCTGCTAATTCGAGGACACGGTTGACAATACTGTCTTTCAAAGCCATGATCCACTAAAGCGTCGAGTTAGTACTCGTTTAGAACGGTGAAATAGGAAATGATAGAGATGCCAATAAGTTCATGAATACTTACGTGCGGTGGAGGCGACACAATTCCTTCTAAAAATGCGAACTCCACAGCAACATCCCATTGTATAGCCAAATCTTCTGCAGGAATCTCATTTTGGATACGACCAACAGCTTTCAGTAAAGCCTTTGCATAAACTGGCTCAACTGCTTCTTGATAAGCCGGCTCTATTGCTACATGAAGAACATTGATAGGTGTAGGAAGCGAAACCTGGAATTTCACCCCGTTCGGTATAGTACCACTATCCCGAAGTCGACAAAAAGTAGCATACGAGTCTATGGCAGCATCATCATATCCAACAGGCATGAGTTGGATCTTCTCAGGAGAAATGGGAATAGGGCCTGGATCCTTGGCCAAGGAGAAATACAAAGAGCGAACCAGATAAGGGTATTTATAGAACACGCTTCTTTGCCAGAGGACGAAGTTCCCTCTGTTACCGGGCTCACCATCGGGGATATGCTTTAGCTGGGTTGGAAATGTAGCATTGAGTGTACGGTAAACCGTGGGTGTGTCAGGGAGACAGATACTCCCCACAAAGTGCACATTTTTGCCGGAAGGAGATGCCATATCGAAAGGTTCGCAGTTAGTGCTACGTAGGGTAAATTGTCCAGAAAAGAGATGGTGATGTGAAAAAGCACAAAAATAAGTAAGGGAAGCCGAGCTAGCTTTATGATTTGGAAAGAAAAGGATTGATACAGTGATATCATCTCAAGCTGAGCGACGGGAACCTCTTATATAAATTATTTCACATTCAAAATCTGCCTCAAGTACTACATTTGGGAAGCAAAGGAATACAGCTTAACCAGTACAATGAGTTGGAATACAACCATTCAATTAGCGGTTCAGCAGCAGAGTTACATTGAACAATTGTACTACTCTAGGAAAAAGTCCCCCAATTCGCGCTTCTTTAGCTCAATGTTGCAAGCTGAGCTTGATTGAAAAGGGTCTAGAGAGGGAATCTCCAGCATGGAGTGACTGGAAAAAGCTGTTGACATTGAATGGCACTGAAGGATTTCACTTCGTCAGCGTTTACATAGACTACGAGTTCTCCAATCAGCCTCATAGACATGACTTCAAATGTCACATATAGATCCAGCAACATGGCACCATTTCAGCCCTGCAGTGAATTTACTGAAGATTGGAAAATCTGTAGATTAGGCATACTAGGTATGTCACATTCATGTCCGAGCCTCCTTCTCATTGCAGATGGTGATAACTAAGCGCAGGGTAAATAGTAAGATCGGGATGATATGATACTGGACAATAGGTCGGAAATGGGCAATCTACGGATTTTCATAACTGTTGGTGACGGGGGGGATGCTTGGCGTTGGAGTGATGTTGGTGCTGATGCGGGACTAGGGAACTCCAAACGGTTTTCAAAAAAAGGATGCGCGGGGCAAGCATAATATTTTGGGGGTTAGATACAAGAGCTGCTTTGTAGTCGCCGATTAAGCTTGAATTTTGAACGGCTGTTAGTCAAAACCTGGTAATGTCAATGTTGATGTTGATGTTCTGTTTTGTTTTATTTTGCTTTGTGTCGTTTACTTTGGATTTCGAATTCGAATGTTCCAATACAGTACATAGTCAGACTATTAGTTCTGAGGAATGAGATGTCATTAATATAGAGACTGGATGGAGTAGAGGAGACAATGAAAATTTTAGAGGGGTCATATGTCGCTCGTCAGGCTCTCCATACATACCGCGAAGGAATGATAATACACCATGCATTAGTTCGTTGTAATACGTCAGCGGAGGAAGTGAGCCTTCGAATACCACTCTACATACAAGTTGTATGGAGAGAAGTAGCAAGCGAAAAGTAAGGACGTGGAGTGGAGAAATAAGATAAATGCTGGTGCGGCACGAGCGCTACCTGGTTACTGAAGTTTGCTTGGATATAAGCGCAATGTGATACGAAGATGCAAACGCGGCATGGTGCAGTGCATCTTACGACTCATGATTGGATGGGTCATAATATACGATGCGGCGTGGTATGAGGCACAGGCTTTGAAGAACAATATACATATGAATGCAATTCGTAGTTCCTATGGGAAGCGGCGAGGTGCGACGGTGAGTTATGTCGTAGGCGGTTAAGTCATATAAAGATCGGGCGTAGAATGAAGTGGGATGAGGTGAGAAGGGAGGTGATAAGGGATGTAGGTGCAAGATTTGAATTGATGTTTTGGACGGTAAGACTAGGTATGTATTCCAGCAAACTAGAATCTGAGAATTTTCAATTCAACACACAAAAGTTCACATCCAAATTTAGATCAGATTCATGCTCTTGTACAAAATTCGAACTTTTCCTAAATACAACCCATTTCTTGTCATGCGTTTGTCGTTCCATGCTACAACACCACAGTCTTGATAATTTTGAGCCGCCCCCTTTTCACCACCTTGACCTTTTTTCCCCGGACATAGTAAACTAAGGCGATGAGTGAAGAAAATGCATCTAGACAGCGCTCCAGGCGAACTTGACAGAGACGCTTTGGCTGGAGGTGTAAATGGTTGCTTGGGTAGAACCAGATGGGGTGGCGGTGGCATAGAAGGTAGATGAGCCGCCGTATGTAAGGTAGCCACCGGAGGACTATGATGAGTTAGTTGGTTGGGACTTGATCTGGAAGGGGAAGAGGAGAGGGATGAAACTTACTCCGAAGACGGTAGAGACACCGGCGCCGCAGGAAAAGGTACTGCCGGAGATACCGCACGTTCCCTTGGAGGACTTGAGGGTGAAGCCAGTACCTAGGCTGGAAGTTAGTGGTGTTCGTTTAATGGTAGATGGGGAGTTGAGGTAGGTCTTTTGACAACTATTTTTTCATCAGGACTGGGGAAAAAGAGTCTTACCAGAAGCAGTGGCAGTGTATGTAGCACAAGTACCGCTAGTGTACCAGGTACCTCCACTAATCAAGCATCCGTTATTGGTGCTTCCAACGTATGCCTCCAAATACCCAGATCCAGAGAAGCTGCCAGTGCCAACAGGAGCAGTCGCGGTGGTAGTTGGGGTACCACCAGAGCCGGACTTGGGAGTGTACTTAATGCCGGTACTGGGGCAATTTCCAGTTTGGCCGACGGGAGTAATGGGAACGAATGTTCCGGTGGCAACGGAACCGCGTACTTCAAAGGAGTACCAAATTTCATCGAGAGAGGAGGAACTACATTGAATGGTGGCAGGGTGTCCGAAACCGGCGGTGATGGCTGCTTGAATTTGAGCAGAGGTGTAGGTTTTGGTGGTGGAGGGCACGATGCCAGCATTGGCTAACCACTGTGATGATATTAGTTGCTTATCTCTTTTGCTTGTGTGGAAGGCTACTCACTGTGTAGGTGGGAAGAATCTTGAAAAGATCAACAGCAACGTTGAAGAAGTCTACAACTTCTGCACCGGTGGTGTAGCTGCTGTAGCAAGAAGGCTCAAGGGTACTGATACAGGTTCCGTGCTTGTTCCACTCGTGTTCCCAGAATACCTCATTGGTAGAGTCATCACTGACCCAGTAGGTGTTCATGTACGAGAGCAAGGATGTTTGGCCAGCAGCAGAAAGGATGTTGGTTATGCTCGAATATTGACGACTAGTATCGCAATTTGAATCATAGGTACCATCACAATGATCGGGCCATAAACCGTGGATTGTCCAAGAGTTTGAAGGACCTTGAGTATGATCAGTTTGTGACTTGTGAAGCGAGGGTAGGAAGGAAAGAGATTTATCTACCTGTGCTAGGGTTGGAGTCCCAGAATTGGGTCTGAACCATTTGACCGCCAGGAGTATTGAAGCAGCAAGTATTGGTACTGGAACCGCTACAACTCAATGCTGGACTCGAACATACCAACGGAGTTGCAGCTAGACTGGCTGCGCGT